GTTGGGGGCACTATGCTGTCATAGTGCCCCCAACAACAGGCATTACATATCATAGATTAATACTGGTTAAAAACATATTCACAGTTTTCATACAGTGTTTTTGGTAACACGCCGTGCGTAAATCGTATACTTACGTTAGACAAAAATTAAACACTTAATATTAAAATTAAAATTTAATTTTCGTCGGTAGTTTGTGCTTTCAATAATTTATCTACGTCATTGCAAATTTTTCGAAGAAGCCCTCTTAACATGCACATTTTTAATTTCACTGCACAATAGAATAGAGATGGAGTTTATGAATGCTTTAGCTATTAAATTATCGCAACAGTAATAGCGGTTTCCGAAATAAAAGAACAATATTAGAAGATGAATACGTAATAATACTAACGTATAGTGCGCCAGCGAAGTCCATCAATATTATTTACTATCCAAATTAATTTTACATAATATATGACCCACCCGTGTAATATATTAGCTAGATAGGACACCATCGCGTCAATAGAATTTCAAGACTCGATAATTACGTTTTCGACGTCTTTCGTTATACGTAGGATACGTACCTTATATACGTACCTTAATACGTACGTTATACGTACCTTAATTCACATTAAATTATTAAACATGGAGAACATTTATTTTTGGCGACAGGTCGAACAACAAAGATGTCGTCGTCGTCGTCGTCGTCGACTGCCGTCCTCGCTTCGCAGCCAAAAGAACTGAAGCCCGTCGTTCAGACGTCGGCAAAGATGAAATCGAAGCGTCTGCTCCGGACGCCGAAATGCGCGCGCTGTCGTAACCACGGCGTCGTGTCGTGCTTGAAAGGTCACAAACGATACTGTAGGTGGCGCGACTGTCAGTGCGCCAACTGTTTACTCGTCGTGGAGCGACAGCGCATCATGGCGGCACAGGTGGCGCTGCGAAGGTACGAATGTCGCGCCAGGTAGCATGAATGTCCGAGTGAACGTGAGATGTTAAAAATGTGGGCTTTCTGCTGCGTTCATGTTTAAATGTGGGAGGCATGCAATACTGCTCATATGGTTAATTAAAAGTGAGATGTCGTGCTGCTCTTATGTTATTTTGGCAGTACGTATCGTAATATTTTAGCTTACGCGTATAATCATTATAAGATATTATACATAATAGCAGATAAATAACGAATGACTTTGAAGAATAACTTTCGAATTTCCATTCGTTTCCATCCGTTTTATATTCACGCACTTCTACAGGCAACAGTCGCAGGAGCAGAAGAAGGATGGAGAGACGGAGAATAAAGCTGAGAAAGAGAAACCTGCCAGTGCGGCGGAGGCGGCTAAGAAGATCGCTGCCGCCAAACGCGCGTCTGCTCAACTCGCTGCGAAGCCAGCGAAGAGCAGTGGCTCCATCTCGCGGGATATTTTGCAAAGTACGGACTGTTAAATCGGGAGGTTTTATATTTGCTATGTCGGTTATCAAATCTTGGAGGTGGCGGCGGTGATGAAGTTTGTGATGTTCAGTATTAATGGTCAGGTTTGCGTGTCAATAAACTCGTAATCATATCCAATTACTTGGAAACAGCGGGAGTAAAAGAGAGTAAGATAGATATAGAAAGATAGAGAGAAATAGAGAGATATATAGGTAGAGAGAGAAATCAAGAGAACGAGAGAGAGAGGAAGAAAGAAAGAGTGAGAGAGAGAGAGAGAGAGAGAGAGGACGAGAGAGAGGAGAGAGATAAAAAGAAGAGAGAAGAGAGAGAGAGAGAGAGAAGAGAGAGAGAGATTAAAAGGAGAGCCGATGAGGAGAGAGATGCGAGCCGCGAAAGAAAGAGAAGAGATGAGATAGAGAAGAGAGAGAGAAAGAGAGGAGAGAGAGCGAGAGAGAGCGAGAGAGAGAAGAAGAGAGAGAGAGAGAGTGAGAGAGAGAGAGAGAAGAGGAGAGAGAGAGAGCGAGAGAGAGAGAGAGAGAGAGAGAGAGAAGAAAGAAAGAGCGAGAGAGAAAGAGAGAGAGATAGAGAAGAGAGAGATCGCGGAGCGCAAGCGAGAGAAGGGGGAGATATAGAGAGAGAGAGCAAAGAGAGAGAGAGAGAGAAAGAGAGAGTGGAGAGGCGCGAGGGGAGAGGAGATAGAGATAGAGAGAGAGAAGAGAGCAAGGAGAGAGAGAGAGAGAGAGAGAGAGAGAGAGAGAGAGAGGAGAGAGAGAGAGGGGATATAAGAAGATAGAGAGAGAGAGAGAGAGAGGGGGAGATAGAGAGAGCAGCGAGAGAGGAGAAGAGCGAAGAGAGAGAGAGAGAGAGAGAGAGAGAGAGAGAGAGAGAGAGAGAAAGAGAGAGAGAAAGAGAGAGAGAAAGTCATGACAACGACCATACCTACACAGTGTTGATTCTCGCTTCCTTCACCACCAGGCTGCAGATCAGCGCGCTACCGCTTCCCAGCGTCCGATAACACGCGACAGACGCTGCCATTCATGAGTGAGAGGATGAGGAAGCGACGCGCCTTCGCCGACAAAGAACTCAACGATATCATGTACGAACAGGAGCGACACCTAGCGGCGGAAAAATCGCACCTGGCCGCGTCGCTGCAGCTCCCAGACGCGGCGATGGTGGCGGCGCGTGGCGGCGGCGGTGGTGGGTTAACTCCGCAGGATTTTCTCATGCGGACCTTTCCTCAGCTGAATGCGAGCGTGCTGGAACTGATCTACCAAGCATGCGGTGGCGATCTACAGAAAACTATAGAGAAGATCGTGATAAGCAGTTCCGGTGCCGCCTACTCGCTGGACAGCCGGTCGTCGCCAGCGAAATTTCTCACTGCCGACATGCAGCAGTGCTGGCAGCGGCAGCAGCAGCAGTTGTTGTTGTCCGGGAGAATCTTCTACCCACTGCCGCCAGGTGGCGCCTGCTCTCGGAGCAGCGTGTGTGTGAGTGAGATGGATGGAGGGTTGGCACGCGGGGATAGAACGGGTTCGATTCTAAGCGAGATTCTACAAGAACGCTCGGCGTTTTCCGCCGTCAAGTCGGCAGTGGGTGGACTACAGGATTCTGGCGTTACGACTCAGTGTATATCGCAGAGCGGGAACGACGAAGATTTATCGAAGCAACGAGGACAATCGTGGCTTTCATTTTCAGTGGATTCGATAATTGGGAAAAAATAATCCGTTAAAGGGATTGCAGTATGAATATTATTTGTAATATACTACGTGACTTGGTTGCTTTCTTTCGTCTGTTCTAATTGAAATTTGAATTTTGTATTTTCGTGTTTTGCGAAAATAAAAACATGTATATAACCATCTTTACAAGAATTAATCTTTATTTAGTAATATCAGACCGCCAACCAGATTTATAATTGATGATAAAATTTGATTTAGCGACTGATTATATATTTACAATAAGATCCATGTAATAAATTGTCATTGAAATAATGATTATAACAAGAGTATTATTTAATTCTATAATAAGTGCTTATAACAGCTTTATTTATGCCAACATTTAGAATAGTATGGTAACTATAGGGGGTCTTCATTCATGCTGGAAGAATTGAAACTTGATACACTAAACTCACAAAATATGGCTCCTCTGGTGAGAAAATACGCATGCGCGAACACACTAACGTAGCCAGATTATGTACTGACTGGCATATGCAGCGAGTACCTTACATGCAACGTCTTCTTCCTAGTTCTTAAAAGAGGTCTACTGATGGAATTTTATCACATAAATCTATGCTAGAATACCTCCTCTCCATTTTAAATGCATAATCTTTGCAAAATATTATTCTTCTCATGAGATAATGCGCATGCGCGAGCAACCATTTCAGGCCTCCAGTACTGACTGAAGAAACCTGCATAATATAGCTGGGTGAGAGATAGAGAGGTGTGAGAGACTGAGGAAAGGCGTCATGGAAGATAGCTGAGAGGCGGTAGAAAAACAATGAAGCTGAGAGAGGGACAAGGGAGGCAAGGGAAATGACAGGATTGGGTGAAGTAGGAGTTTTGCACCCTACAGGCTAGGGCGCTCTCCTAATTATAAACACAGGGCTACTGATAAGAATTTATTACATAGATCTATGCTGAGATACCCCCTGACCATATTAAATGCATATTAATCACAAAATATAACTTCTCTGGTGAGATATTGCGCATGCGCTAACACCCTAACGTAGCCAGATTTTGTACTGACTGGTATATGCAGTGTGCACCTTACATGCAAGATAATTTTCCTATTTCTTAAGAGAAGTCTACTGATAAAATTTTATCATATAAATGTATGCTAGAATACCTCCTCTCCAATTTAAATACATAACCTTCGCAAAATATTGCAATATATACACTTTATTATTGATTCATTGATTTATTGTGAACACTTCTTGTACACTTCATTGTGAATCTTTTTGTGAATATAGGGCTATTTATTTAGCCACGTGATGATTTACTCGTGTGTTGTTTCTATCACTCTCATACTTGGTCATAACTTTGCGTAACATAGCGGAACATGTAGCGCGCATACCTTCCACACGTGACCTCACTCTCTTTCTCGAATTGCGGGCTGTGATCATAATTGACGTTGACGACGCTGACATACACATGCGCGCGGCTGTCTATTTCTCTCTCTCTCTCTCTCTCTCTCTCTCTCTCTCTCTCTCTCTCTCTCTCTCTCTCTCTCTCTCTCTCTCTAGGTCATCCTCTCATCTCTCTCATCTATCTCTCTCTCTCGCTCATACTCTGACTCTCTCTCTTTATCTCTCTTTCTTCTCTCTCCTCTCTTCAATCCTCTAATCGGTCTCCTACTCTCAGTCCGTACTACTTCACTCACTCTTCCCCTCTCATTCGACTCCCCTCTCTCTCTCAAATTCGCCTCTCATCATATTCTCTTCTCCCGTCCTCCTCGCTCCATCTCTCTCGTCTTCTCTCTCTCTCTCTCTCTCCTCTCTCATTTCCCGAACGTCTTCCCTTCTTTTTTTCCCACGGCCGTTCCAATCTCCCCGCATTTTTTGTCGCGCTCGTCTCCCCTCCGGCTCGTGATACTCGTCTTCATCGCATCCTCCTCGATCTCCTTCTCTCTCTCTCTCTACCCTCCCTCTTTCATATCTTGCCGTCGTATGTCTCCTTTCTCTCTTCTTGGCTCCGCTCCTCTCTCTCCGTCGCTCCCTCTCCCTCGCTCTCTATTTCTTTATTAATCTTTCCCTCGGGGGCTCCTCCGATCTCCATCGCTTATGTCCCCTTTCTTTCTCTCTCTCTCTCTCTCGTGCGCGATTTCTAATGAACAATCCGCGTGGATTAGAATATACACATATTACATGTAATATAGGTAGGCCTATATAGATCAGGAGTGAAATAATAGAGACAGGCATCTCTAGCGCTAATTATGCTCATTAGATTCATATAATTCTCTATTATCAACGACTGATTTTAAGATATATCCACCACAATATACTGGCACAGATATAAATTATAATATACATACCTGATATACATATAAGTATTATTTTATTAGATGCTGTGAGTCTGTACACTTTGGTGTAATACTATATATGTACCTTCGGGTACATATTTAGTCCTTGATACGACAACGACCCTTGAGGCGTACTATGTAAGCCAAATTCATCGGCTAGTGGCGCAGCGTGATCGTTTATGAAGTACCGAAACGTAACGCCTTTATACGATAATTCTGGTAAACAAGGGCTACCGATTTTGTGAACTGGGTCCTCCTTCGTTGCGTCGATCGTTTTCCTTTGATATTGACGTTCTAAAGGTTAGTCGTGGGATATCTTATATTAGAATAGGTGTTATTAGATATAAGTTGTTTGGTTTATGTTGAGATGAACTCTACAGTTGTATAGCTCCCTCAAGAGGTTGTACGAATGTCATCTGCTGCTGTGTGTTGAATTTGTTGTCACATTTTACTTTTGATTTTGATCAAACCTCTGGCATCTTGTATGGCTCTTATAGTGCTTCATGAATCATCTTTTATGTTTTACATCCCGGTAAACTTGAAGTGTGGGTTATCCGTCCACTCTGGGACTGTCTAAGTTGCTCAATTGATTTAAGTGGGATGAAAATACATTGATACGTATGAAGAACTGAAATATTAATATTAAATTAG